GTGTGTGTGTGTGTGTGTGTGTGTGTGTGTGTTACTAATTAGAAGAGCAACAAATACTATTATTCAACCATTTTTTTTAAATAATGTTTTTACTTGCTCTAAAATATTTTCTGTGCTGCAACGATTAAGAATAATTTGACGATGATTTAATAACCCTTGTGATTACAGGGTGCTCTCACATAGTGACTCTTGCTGCACAGGGTGATCTGATCTTTGTATAGAAATCAGATATTTTTTATTTTAAACTTAATGAAAAAGCTTGAAGAGAGAAATTAAAAGAATTCAAATGTTGAGTTTACCAGTGCAGTCATTGTTGATTGTTAATGGGGGGATTTGATTGGTTTATTTTTTTCTCTGTACAGAGAGAGCATGGTGTCTCCCCCACTTTTGATAATTAATATGATGCAAACACTGTCTCCCTCTACTGGCCATAAGAAATAAGTGTCTTCCCAGTGTATGATCTGAGATGTCTTTCGAGCTCTTAAACAGTCTGCTGCTGGACAAAATGGGAACTTTCCAGATGACCAGCTGGCACGATTCAGCTGCACTCTCAAACCAAACACTAGAACTAATCATATTATTCACTATGGGTTTATGTCTGCCTTCCTACTTTTGGATCAGAAATCAAAAACACATTTCCAACTAGATCCAGAGTAATCACATGAACAAAGTCACCTTGAGGACTACTGGGTAAACTGTTTTTTTTATTATGACAATTCACCTCATAATTAAGTGACACAATTCATTTGGCTTTGTTTTTTACATTTCATGTCATAGTTTTTCATCCAAATGTAACCAAGCAGTGAAACCAAATTGAACTGTTTTTATTCTGGTCAGCTCAGAAACATCCTACCTCATTGGATTAAAGAAACTTTGCTAACGCTGCAGTGCAGCAGTTAGTGTGGAAATGCAAAGCTGTCTAATCTGTCTGTGCTGGACAAAAGGCCTACACAGACAGGTGTCGTTCCCAGTCATTAAGAGGATAGGTGACCATAAGATAAAATGAATGAAGATACAGCAGAGTTAAAGAGAAGGTCAGAGAATGGCTTACCTATGACAAGTTCATGCTTAACTTAATCTTTTTCAGTTTGTCCCAACAAATCCAACCCAATTGAATTAATAGATATTAATCGTTAACAATGTGGAGAAAGTGTAAATTTACTAAAATAAGAGGTTTAATATATTCACTTTTTTTATGTCAACATTGAGGACAGTTCATGTAACAATCAAAACCCTGAGATGCTCATTGTAGCTTTTCAGAGCATTCAGTCACATCAGCTTCAGGTCACCCTCAGCAGAGATGGAGCTTTCAGAAGAGATTTTTTGTTATTCAGTATTTTTCTCCTCAAACGAAATATACACTTCAAATAAGTAGAACAATTATTAATTAAGTTATTAAGCAAATCTGGGATGATCAAAGTCTGATGAACACATCAGGCCCCAAACACATGAAAATGATTGACTAATTTTTTTTTTTAGTTTTATTTACCCAGGAAAATTGCCAAATGAAAGAATTTATTCCTAATCAGTTCCTAAATGTTGCACATTTCTGAATTTAATGTAAAATTAAGCTATACTCTATCTGATGGTCCATCTTCACGCAGGGCATGGTTAACACTATTAGGAGTCACACAGTTGTCATAGAAGATCTGGAAGGAGCCGCTAACATAAGTTACCCTCTTCAGGAAGTCCTCCAGCTGCTGCACCGTCATTTCCTGAACCTGGTTATTCTCCTTGTCGTTGAGGCCACGAGACGCGAATGCAGGGAACTTCAGGCGCTCGGAGTAGGGTGAATTGCGGTCGAAATCAGTGCAGCAGTAGGCCGACCAAAAGTAGCTGGGGACGCCCAGGCGTTTGATGTTCTGGCGGCGTATTGCTTGACCTGAGGTGGTGACCCCGGTGACCACATAGGCGGCGCCTCTGCAGTAGTTGTTGAGCCGCCTGCGAATGATGTGCTCATGCTTTTTCCAGGGGCCCATGTGGAACTCTCGTACCTGAGGAACCACATTGGTCAGAGTGTAGGTGGCTGCTTTGTCATCAGGATGGGCCTGGTGCTCATCCGGATTGAGTTGTCCACGCTCGTAGATCACAGACTCAGAGTAGTCATCGAGGACAGCCTGTGCAGCTTCTAAAGTTTTTGGAGCATTTTCAGAGGGCAGCTGCTGCATCTCTCTTGAGCCAGATGCTGTGGACAGCTGCCAGGAAAAACAGTGTCATTATTACAATCCAAAAATAATATATACTTTAAGGTTCAGTGTGTAGAATTTTGTGATATCTAGTGTTGATATTGCATGTTGCAGCTGAACACCCCTCTCCTCGCCCTCTCCTTCCAAACATGAAAAAGAACCTGTGGTATCCTTTAATTGTCATAAAAACTCAAAAGGTGTTTAGTTTGTCCAGTCTGGACTAATGTAAAAAACATGGCGGCCTCCGTAGAGAGGACCCCCCCTCGATGTAAATATAGTAGTATTTAAATGCAAAGGGCCTTTTCTGGGGTAAAGAAAACTACAATTCATACAATTTAGATGAAATGAACCAGTGAAAACATGAGGATTATTTTACATTAAATGTCTGCCAATAGATCCCTTTCACCTAAATCTTACACACTGGACATTTAAACTAGATATTAACACCAAATAAGATTAATTCTTGAAACGTTGCTCTCTTTTTCCCCCTTAAACACTCCTAAGTAGGTTAAACTTTGAATCCGGAAACCATTCTTACCTGTGGCTCATACATCCAAGGCACATCAGCCTTCTTGGAGCCATCTGAGCGCTTGAAGATGTACGCAGAATAAACAGGGATGTGGCTGAAGGTGTTGTACAGAGTCACATATCGTGGTTTTCCCTCATAGAACTGGCAAATCGTTTGGAACGACTTCTCCTCAAGCCCTCGAGGCAGTGTGCCCATGTACAGGAACTGTTTACACCGAAGAGATAGATTTTCCTGCACCTCTGCTCCTGCCATCACGACTAGCAGGTACATGAGGGCTTGGTCTGCTCTGTTGACAATCATGATGAAACGTGGACCACTGTGCATTTGGTCCCTCTGAAAAGCTGTCGTGCTGTGTGGAGTCTGTCAGCTCTGTCTGTGTGCGTCATATTATCTCTGGTTTATTATGCAAATGCTTATTATGCAAATCCTTTAGTGCCCAAACCATTACTCTGTTGGAAAATTAACAAGTAACCAGAAGCCATCGCAGGCCCAGCCGACCTCTGACACCTCTCTCCAGGGTTGAAGTTATGGTGATAATTATGTGAGGTTACTCAACTTTAAACACTTAAAAAGTTGTGCCACAGTAATAGATTCAGCAAATTATACAATTATTGTAGATTATATTTCATCAGTGTTCAAACAATGCATTAAGAATTAACACCTAAGGTTCTACCTAAGAAGTTGAAATGTGAAAAATGACTGTCCTGGGGTGGTCTGATTAACCAGATTTAGTGAGAATGCTTATGTTGTTGGGCCATTGGTGTGAAGGGGCTTTAAAAACATGGACGTCTATGTACTGTATATTTGTTGAGATGTGGCATATAGAAATGCTCAAAATGAAAAAGTGTATTAAAGGTACAGTGTAGAATTTTGTTATATCTAGTGTTGAAGTTACATGTTGCAGCTGAACACCCCTCACCTCACCCTCTCCTTCCAAACATGAAAAATAACCTGTGGTAGCCTTCAGTTCTCATAAAAACTCAAAAGGTGTTTAGTTTGTCCAGTCTGGACTAATGTAAAAAACATGGCGGCCTCCGTAGAGAGGGTCCCCTCGATGTAAATATAAAGTATTTCAATATAAAGGGCCTTTTCTAGGGTAAAGAAAACTACAATTCATACAATTTAGATGAAATGAACTAGTGAAACAATCATGAGGATTATTGATTCCACATTGTGGAAACTTTGAGCTGCAGAGCCCTTTTAACAGTTTTGTCATGTAAGGGGTTGATGATTTGATGCAACAAAAACAAAGAGCACACTTATGCCACTCCGTGCCACAGAAAATTAAATTAAACAGTGTTTCAATCCAGAGTGCAATCTTTGTCAGGCCCTTTTGTGGTTAAAAGAGAACCACCCATATTTATAGGGTACACCAATGTGCTGTTGGGCTCTGTGGTGGCGGATGTGGTTAACTACCCTGCTCAAGAAGATTGAGAAAACACACTTTGCATGTGGTGGCCACAGAAAATTGTTCTGTCTGTATGCTTCCCTCCATGCTTTCTCTAGTTTAATGTTCTGCTAGTGTCCTTGTCACCACTGGTAGCATGAGTCGGTAATCAGTCAGGTTGCACAGGTAGTCCAGCTCCTCCAGGATGACACATCCATACATGTGGTCACAAGAAGGTTTGCTGTGTCCGCCAGCACATTCATGTGTCATTACATGTTGTTTCTGTGTCATTACATGTTGTTTTTTTAGTTGTTTTTATGTCGTACCACGGGGCGTAGCAATCCAAATTTCGTTGAATTACGTCAATGACAATAAAGGCAATCTGATCTGAATCGGAATCTCAAGAGCATGGAGGAGGAGCAGGAGACCAGCTGTGACACAAGGAGAGCTGGACTTGGCAGTAGAGGGGAATCAACCCAGCAGCAGGACCGGTATCTGCTCCTTTGTGTGAGGAGGAACAGGAGGAGCACTGCCAGATCTCAATAAAATTACCTCCAGCAGGCTACTCTAGTAGGACCTTTGCTCACAGGCCAGGACTGTGCAGCTCGATTGGCAATCACCAGAGAACACAGGTTCACACTGAGCACAAGCGACAGTTGTAAAAGAGCCTGTAAATGCCATGATGAACGTTTTGCTGCCTGTTACAACATTCAGCATGAGCAGATTGGTGGTGGATCAGTGATGGTCTGGGGAAGCATATCCCTGGAGGGTCGCACAGACCTCCATGTCATAGCCAACAGTTCCCCGACTGCTATTAGGTACTAGGATAAAATCCTCAGAGGGATTGTCAGACCTTACGCTGGTGCAGTGCTTCCTGGGTTCCTCCTGGAACAAGGACAATGCCCGGCCTCATGTGGCCAGAGTGTGTAGGCAGTTCCTTGATGATGAAGGCATTGATGACATTGACTGGACCTCTCGCTCGCCTGACCTAAATCCAATTGAGCACCTATAGGATGTGTCAGTGCATCTGACACTACCAAGTACCACCACAGACTGTGCAGGAGCTCACTCACTTATCCAGGTCTGGGAGGTGGGGATTCACCAAAACACCATCCGGCGACTCACTTGGAGCAGCCACAGACGTTGTCGGTAGTATACAGGCAAGAAGTCTTGATTTCGTCTGTCAGAGTCTGTCCTTTCTGTAGTGCAAGTGTCACCCACTTGTTTCCCACAGTGATGCTCAATCTGCTCTACAATAAATTACTTATATTTAGTTTTTCTTTCTTCAGTATGTGAGTGAAAAGACCATGCCCTTAGAAACATCTGTTTCCATAACAACAGCGTGACCTCTACTCTTGTAGAAATAAACACTTCCCGTATCTATCCATCCATCTTAGAATTGAATGACTACTGTGGCCAAGAAACATAACTTTAAAAACTTGGGGGAGCTGATGTTGTTTATATATTATATAATAATAATAAAAATATTTAATTCTAATCTGTTAAAGTAATTTGTAGCTGCAGCTGTCAGAACAATGTAGAGCATGGTAAACAATACTGTTTTTGCTTTTGGAATGTGGTGGATATAAGATATAAAGTTAAACAAACTTAAGATGCTCAAGTCCAAACCAGCCTAGTGCTGTTCCTTGAATCCCTAAATGTTGTTACAATCTTTCTAACAAAATCATTATTGTTAATAAATCATATATAATACAATATATGATCCATGTGTTCACTTAATAGCATTGATGATTGATAAAGATGATCAAAAAGTCCCTGAGTGTGCAAACGATAAGATTAACACTGTAATTGAACAGCACTGAATGAACAATAGTAACTCAAGTCATACTGTAGCCCTACACTTCAAGTGAAGTTCAAATAGAGACCACTAGAGGGCTCAGTCTGCATGGTAGTGGCCATGAACAGCTGCTACCAGCAACATCTAACTTCATTCATCGCCTACAGCCAGTGACCAGGGATATCCAAATATCATGGCCGCACTGTGCCTTAAGATGAGCCCTACAGCTCTTACTGTGGTTTATCATATGGTCCACGAGCACTGCTCCCCAATCCCAAAATAAACTGTGGATGAACGTTATCCTGCAAATAAAAGCACGTAGGAATGACAGGACACGCAGGTAACATGCACAGCAGTATCTGCTGGAAAGAAAAAGGATCAGGTACAAAAATAACATTATAAAGTACATGATATAGATTATTTGTTATTTCCAATGTGCAAAGTAATTCAGGAAGTCTGTCATCTTATTTGTGATGACTCCCTGTTGTCTGTGCACGGAGGGTCGCAACTATGTGAAAACCTATTTCCACCTAACAGATTTTTAACATGTAAACACCTCCAGTTCTGTCCATGTGTCCCAGTCCTCTCCTCGCGAGGGAGGTGTGCCATGGCTACACAGCATGGCGCTGCAGAGCGGAGACATTGCTGTCAGAGTACAGTGACAGACGGTGGTGGGGACACACGTCTCATGCTAAGGGCTGCATCAGTTAGTGAGAACGATGACGTTTCCCGTCACAGCTGTTAGCTTTGCTGGGTCTTTGTCATGTACATGCGCGCACAGGGAGCTGTTCGAACCCCGTTTCAACTCCTGCTCCCTGATACCAGTCAAGAATCTCAGCCAGGTCAAATGTGCGTAACAGAGGCTGAGTGGACATCGTCTAACGAGCAGTTAGTGAGTGGGTGCAGACCTCCACATTGTTCCTTTAGCCCCATTGGAGGTAACATGGCTCCATCCAGACACAGACAACAACACTACAAGCAACCAATCAATCGTTCTCTCCACCGCGGAAACCAGCGACCAATCAGCTGTCAGAGTGCGTCGACTAATGCAGACCGTTCGACCAATCAACTGTGTGTCTGGGTCTGCTGGGGGAAACAAACGGCCAATCGGCTGCCAGTCTCCTATACACGGAGCGACTGCTGGACCAATGAGCTGCGTGTCTGGCTGCACCGACGGGGTGAGTGTCTGTCGAGGCCCAATCAGCGGTTTAGTGCTGCCTGCCGGTGCCGGGGACTGGTGGTGAGGAGACGCTACAGCGCTGTCAGGACCGGACCGTGAACCCGGAGACGGTACACACTGAGGCGAAAGGAGACACAGGTGAGTCCGAGGATGTTCGCGGGGCCTGGCTCCGGCTGGGGATGTTTCGAAGTGGCAGCGACGGAGTTCATGTGGCGGCAGGAGGGCGAGTAGTGTCGTGGTGCAGCCGATGGATACGCTGATGTGCTGATAGACAATAGAGCGGCTTCTCTTCGCTATTTATTGATGCAGACTGACATGTCGGCGACCAGCAGCCGTCGCCTCGAACTGTCCATCTCCATTTAAAGGTCTGGAATCCCAGCAGAAACATTAAGGTTCATCTAAATCCTCCCCGGCGCCCCGTGTTTCGATAATAACCGAGCTGTTACCGGAGATGTGTGAATTACGGTGCGATGGGAGCGTTGAGCGGAATGCCTCCAGTCGGTTTCATTGTTTGATCCAGAGTCTCTAGGGGTTAACGGAAAGAGGCAACCTTCTCCAAATACTGGTTAATGCTCGTTTAAAGGCTGCCGGGGTGAGATGGGATGTTCCGACGGTTGTAACGGGCTAAAGCTATGTGAGCTGGCGGATTAAAAGGCGTTAGGAGGAGGCCGGGGCTGCTGATGGCTCACAGCAATTAGGAAGAAAAATTTGAAATGCATCAGCCATTTACGTAGAGACTCAACTGGCTTCATATGCACCTAAATGGCTGCCTGGCGCCTGACAGCACAACCAACACGTTACTGTAAGGGCAAGGCTTTATTCAGGCAGCGCGGCGGATTAACGGAGGTAGATGTCTGGATGACGTTAGAGACAAAACGGGAATCAATATTTAATGTGTGCTGCCTATTATTCTGCAGTGTAGAGGAGCTCATTTTGTGTCTGCTGCTGCACTGCTCCTCCAGATTTACATGAGTCACAGGCAGATGGATTCACATCTGATTGCTATCACTGTCTCTGCCGTTCTGCTGTGCAGCGTGTACCGTCTTTTGAGCTGGAGATAGGTTCAATGAGGTGAAGACAGAACGTCAAATTGGACCGTTCTCCATTACAAGCCTTTTACAGGAGCTGGTCATGTCAGGCTTCAGTTCCATACATTGAAGTAGTGTCACACACACAGCAGCTGCAGGTAAGGAACAGTCGCCTTACAAAAACGTGTATTTTTGTCACTGGCAAAGTTGACAGACAGACAGCAGTGTTGTCACTTTCACTCTGCTCAGCAGTGTATCACTTTCAACCAGCTGGTTGTTTCTAGTGGTGTCTCCTTCAGGACACGGTGCACACTTCACAGATGTGAGCGTGGAGGTACAGCAGCCCCACAGCCTTTGGTTGTGAGATAAAAGTTGGCAGACCTTGACAAACTCAGCCCTCTACTCACATAGTGATAGTGGGTCCATATGAATGAAAGGTCCTTGCAGTTGAAGAGTGTGAATGAACTGTAGTATTCTCAATGGTGGAGTCCTTCCTTTTCCTATTTCCACCTCAGTGTGCTCTGGCAGCCCCAGCAGCATAGAGATGAAGCCTATCACACTGTTATGACAGCTTTTCACATTGCGTGTAGAGTACTGCAACATCAATTTGGATTAATATACAGTCAATGCAAATAGTTGTCAATTTTTATAAGCCCCTTTTACTGGTCCTGGTTTGAATATTAGATTTTGGGTGTTTGGGTATGTATCAGGAAACTGGATTTCAATCAATCAATCAATCAATCAATCAAATTTTATTTGCATAGCCCATATTCACCGATCACAATTTGTCTCATGTAGGACTTAACAAGGTGTGACATCCTCTGTCCTTAACCTTCAACTACCAAAAAAACACTCAGAGAGCCACATTTGAGGGATCCCTCTCCCAGGATGTACAGAAGTGCAATTGATGCTGTGTGTAACTGAACCATTACCAGAATAACTTTACGGCATTCATTAGAAGAACCAGTTTCATACATAATGCAGAAGTGTGGCAATGTTTAAAGTATTTATACAAATGTCTGATAGATATGAAGGGAGCACTAATGACAAATGAATTGAGGAGTTGTCAGTAGTAGAGTAAGAGTATGTGAGTAGGCATATTGTATATCAAGCAGTCTTGATGTAATCATAGTCCATGATCAGTTGCCACCACGATCAGGATAAACCACAATCAGGATCCACTACCACAATCAGGATCAAGCTGTTAATGCGACTTCTAATTTCTATATTGTAGAGGTGTTGTACACTATAACTTATTAAACTATATGCTTATCACTGGCAGCTGTCTCTGACACTCCCATCCTTAAAGCCCCAAACTATGCTGGGACTTCAAGGGCCCGTCAAAAAAGTGTACATTATTCTTGCCAAGAAAAACCCACTCGTGCAAAAATGTGCCAGTAATTATTATTTCTCTCCTGTCTGTCTGGTATCTGCTTTTCAAACAGCAGTAATTCAGCTTTAATAAAGCAATGCCTCCCAGTTAAACTGGATATGAGATGTCAGTGGTATAGGTGAACTAATACTGTATTTTCTAGGCCAACTTCAATATTTTAAATTGTTATAACATTTGGATAATTATAAATCAGCTGAACGCAGGTTTTCCACAGGTCCTTAAAAAGTCTTAAATCAATAAGCAGATTTTTACTTCATCTAATGCGAGTAGGTGCAAGTTCAATGAGATCTGGCTCGAGAACATTTACTGCTCATTTGAAGCCAGTCAAACCTTGTGCAAGAAATTCGAACTTTTGGTATAAAGACGTACAAGTCACATGTCAGAGAAACATAAAGCCACCAGTGATCGCCAGCCATCACACAATACTGCTCTGTTTTCACAGCAAGAGCATCACCAGAGTCCAGCCATGGCATTATCCACTCTGCACCAATATCAAATTCTAGTGTAAACTACCTGCGAGCAGCATTTGTATCAAGGCCAGCATTTAAAATGTAGCTCCCGTGGACTTAACACATGGAAGCTAATTATCAGTCATAGAACGTTAGCTTAGTTCAAGAATTTCTGTTAGGGATCCAGTGTTTTTTGGCGCTTTTCTTTATTGATTTCTCAGAGAATAATCAATGGATCGGGATGAAGAATTTCCGCTCTGTTTTGAGGACTGAATGCTTGTAATTTGGCGCAATCCAAGCAAAAATCTGGATAGTGAATTTAAATGTGGTTTCATAAGGGGGCTGCTGGGCCTTGATTTACTATTTTGAAAAACATCTTCGGTGCACTGTGCAAACTCATATGATAAAGGCCTTAAGGGTGTTTGTCCTGTAATTTGTCAAATGTATAATCTGTAAAAAAGACTCAAGATTTAGAAGCACTCATAATTTCTGCATCATGTGACAGCTTCTCAGGTTTTTTCACTCCAGTTTTATATCATAAATAGATGTTGTCTGGTTATTCTGTTTCTGATATTGTTTAGAGAATAAAACTGGAAAATGTGTTTGGTTGATGTATGAATATAATATTAAACTTATATGTGAAGCACTTTTCTTACAGGAACAGCAGTTTAAAATCCTTTAGAACAAAGAAATAGCATGCACTGATGGCTTTACATAAAGTACACATGTAAACATGTTGAAGTGTCCTACAGCCTAATACTAACCAACTCTAGTTGTTAGTGACTAAAGTATGTTTTCAAAATCACCCCAGAAATATTGTTGGCATTTTGTACTGCAGTCTATATATCTGCTGACATGCACTGTATGTGCATGTATCTTTAGTGAGCTAATTTCAGTGTTGTCGCTATATATTTAGTAAAATTCTAAATCTTTTCAATCGCATTTCTAATTTATAAAAAAAAAAAAATCATTCTGTGTTAAATGTAGAGAGTACAACTTTTTGTAAAAGGATGAAGCTGGTATTATTCCATTTTTGTGTGTAATGTACAGTTAATCAACCCAGCAGCAGGACCGGTATTTGCTCCTTTGTGTGAGGAGGAACAGGAGCACTGCCAGATCTCAATAAAATGACCTCCAGCAGGCTACTCTAGTAGGACCTTTGCTCACAGGCCAGCGCTGTGCAGCTCGATTGGCAATCACCAGAGAAACCCAGAATCGGCAGGTCCGCCACTGGCACCACATTCTCTTAATGTATGAGAGCAGGTTCACACTGAGCACATGTGACAGTTGTGAAAGACCCTGTAGATGCTGTGGTGAACATTAGGGTTAGGGTTACAACATTCAGCATGAGCAGATTGGTGGTGGATCAGTGATGGTCTGGGGAAGCATATCCTTGGAGGGTCGCACAGACCTCCATGTCATAGCCAACGGTTCCCTGACTGCTGTTAGGTACCAGGATAAAATCCTCAGAGTGATTGTCAGACCTTACGCTGATGTAGTGGATGCTGAGTTCCTCCTGGAACAAGGACAATGTCCGGCCTCATTTGTCCAGAGTGTGTGGGCAGTTCCTTGATGATGAAGGCAATCATGACATTGACTTGACCTCTCGTTCCCCTGACCTAAATCCAATTGAGCACCTATAGGATGTTGTGCACACCAAGTACCACCACAGACATTCAGGAGCTCACTGATGCCCTGATCCAGGAGTAGATCCCCCAGGACACCATCCGCCAACTCATCAGGAGCAGGCCCAGATGTTTTCAGTAGTGCTTAAGGGCCATACAAAGTACTAAGTAACATTATGAGTTGCTGTGATGAAATTCACGCGAGTTGGATCAGCCTTTGATTTCGCCTTTTTACTTTGATTTTCAGTGTGGTTTTGAATCCATCCCTCAATGGGCTGATGATTTTTATTTTCATTGACCGTTGTTACGTCATTTTGTTCCCAACAAATTATACACTGTACTTTAATAGATATTTCAACTATCCGATGTATGATTTAAGTGTTTTCTTTTTTCTTTTTTTTTTAAAGCGGTATGTTTGGGCATCAGGTTGCTGTTTGAAGGAATGAGTAAAAATAACATGTCACCCACTGTAGCAGTGTGGCTCACTGATGTGGCTTTAGTTTTTGTACAAGATGGCACAGAGGAATATGGCAAGGCTTTGCATCTGCAAGTGCGATTTGTTGACAAGAAGAAGCTCATAGAATGTATAGTTGCACAAGAGTTAGTGGGTTTAATTTCCAGTCAGTCAGTGCAGGCTGCAGGA